CTGTTCATAGGTTTCACCCCGCGTCGTATTCCCACGTCCCTGTCACGTGTTACACCACCTACACCATTCAACAGCCCCTATTAACAACATTAGCTCGTGTCGTCAACAGGTTTGGGGGTAGTGATTGTCTTGTGGTGTTACCCAGCCCCCTGACAAGATGAAAGCTGTCCAGTTTGCCTCCCTCACGTCCTCGCGTCCCACATCGCCCTCGATAGAGTTGTTGCGCCGGCCACTGTGGCCGCGAGCCATTCCAATCCAAGAGCTGCATTGTGGCGAGCAATGTAGTAGGCCAGACCGACTCACAGCTGTGACCAGATAGAATGCGCACATGATCCCCCCCACTGTGCATATGTTCTGTAACTCATCGCCGTGCTTCCTATCGAACGCGTACGCGCGATATCCCCGACGAGTAACGCAAGCGGTGGTGTCAGCATAACCTGCAAATAATTCTGCAAAGGCAACGGTGCGAGCGATAGTAGGCGCCTTCTCCAGCACCTCACGAAATAATTCGTTGTAGGTCGATAGCTTGACATCAGGGCTCGCAAAATTGCACACATAGCCACGTTCAGAATAGAACTCAGCGCGGGATCGGGCCCAACGACGGGCCTCCTCAAACACTGGATGCTCAGGATGATCAGCAATGCAGCACGCGGGCCTCTTTGAGGCCTTCTTACCTGCCCCGACCAGACGCACCAGCAATGCCAATGTTAGTAGCCACGCACCAGCGCGAGCCATTCCCCCCCTGGTATATATGGAATCAGGTTCAACTGGGATTGCAGATCTATGAATGTGTGGATCCTCTTGTAAAACGTAAGCCTATGAGCGAAGCGCGCAATATTCAATGTTTCGTCAATGAAACAGTTGTACATTTTCAAGGAGCCGTGATCTTGGATCCTGGTCCAGAGAGTGATGCCGCGCACCCGTTTGCCACCCGCGTTGCCTCCGCCCCCGCTACGCCGAGAGATAGATGTAGCATGTTGAACTGCGTCTGGTCGAGGGCGCGGGGCCCAGTGCCAGAGGGCGGAGGCGGCGCGACTGGCGAATGGGTGCGAGGCGCCACGCAACCCGTTACCCCCTTGGGGGCCGAGATTTGGAATGAGGATTGCCTCAAGCTAGGGAGCGACCCCGATGTAGGAGCAACTATACGCGTGAGAGTTGTTGCGGTTTGTTTGATCCAGCTTGAGGCAATCCACAATCCGAGAGCTCGCCTGTCGGTCATATGGACACACAGATGATGCTTCGGAGTGAGGTCGATGCCCGTCAGCTCGCAACAACGTAGGTGCACGCACATGCACGCCATAAGCTCAGCACGCACATCATCGTCCACTATGCACGGATTCTGCCGCACAAGATCCAAGTATCGAATTAGGGAATGCCCTGCATGCATCAACGGCTCACCAAATTTAGCAGACCCGCCTGACGTCTCGAGCATATGCACCGCGAACTCTAGGATAATACCAGTCTCGGCAGCTTTGAAACTCATCGTGCACCCTGGATGCTTGGATAGATTGTGCACTTTCTTAGTAGCCGTCTGCCCCATAGACTTCAACGTGAAATATCCTATTTTCTAGTGTTACCCAGGCGCATGTAATTAGCAGCGAACCAATCATCCATGTCTGCCGACAGCCGTCGACACCCTATCTCGAGTCGTTGCTGGAGGCTCCCTCGGCAGTCCCAGGGGTTCGAATTCAATACTCTCCAGAGGCTGGCCGAAGCGAACTTTTGCACTGGGCCGTAATAGAGGGTGTGGAGGCTATCGATAGCAAGGGTCCTTGCTGGAGATGGTTCCAAGGACCCGTCAAACAGCGGACACCTTGACAAGACGGATCGATCCTTGCTCGTTGGAATGGTGGAGGAGATATGGCGATGGGCGAGGGGTTGAGGGGGGTGATGATTCGGAGGAATAGTGGGCGGGTGAGCACGGTCGGGGGTCGGGTTGCCAGGGGCCCAGGAGCATGTGTTGAATTGCATCGGCCCCCCCAAATACCCCCCACGTGTTAATCCCCGTCCAACGCCCGATCTCCACCTCACATTCCTGGCGGGATCCCCGTCTGGCCCTCTCCTGTGGCCTGTGCACGACCGCATCCAATACCAGACCATCGGCACCCCGTCTGGACCTCCAGAATACAGCTTTTAGCGGGAGGGCGGCACGCGGGAATGTGAGGATGTCCAACAGGGAGGGCGACGGGTCGAGTCGGTCCCCAATCTTGAGCTGCACCCCCCCGACGACCAGGTCCGGCATTAGAGCGGGCCCCCTCCTGCCAGGTTTAGGAGCCCAATCGATGCAATCGGCGACGCGCTTCCGATCGAGATGGGTCTCGACCGTTATGTGAACTTCACAAACAGCGCAGGAACGTTCGTAGTCATCGGGTTGTCGCAATGGGAACGTCGGAGTGGTGGGATCGCATACCATGCACTCATTCATTGAGTGAAGCTCGTCTTTCACCAAACAACAGTATTGACACAGGTTGTAGCGGCTGGCCCACGACGACAGCCCCAAGGTCTTACTGTGTTCTGACCAATCACTTTTAATACAGAGTAACACGCATTTTCTGGCCATGGCCCGTTGGTCTCCAAGAGGGTCAGAGTCATCCCGCTCCGTCCCGTCGTGCCGACGTTCAGGAAATCGCCCCATTCCGAGCGCCACAAACATCCATTGCCTCAGATGCCATTGATTCCCATGGCACGAGGCACCACCGACCCCCGACCTGGTCCGATCCCGTGCACAACGCGCTGCATCTTGCCAGCAATTCGAGCCGAGTCCAGCGCGTGGCGAGCTGCCCGACCACCAGTCAAACACGTGACATACCCACCCCCACACATCACACACGCCGTGGGATTCGCGGCACTAAGGCGCGCACAGCGCACAGAGCACAGGATACAACGCACACCAATGTTTGCACCCACAGCGGCATCCACCGCGATCGTTTATCCCTCCCAGCAGGTGCCGTTTCGACGTCACTAAGTTTATTGCCCAGAACCCGATGACGGAGTCTTGTCTACCAGAAGCCCCATTTTGATACGAAGTACCGTCGATATACAGTCCAACGGGTAGGGGTAGAGGTTCTTGGGCGTCCCTGGCTCGGACACCAGCTGGGTGGCAACGATATGCCTTTGTATCCAGCGCGCACTTGGCGCGATCCTCATCTGCTCCGTCTAAAATGGTCAAACACTGGCTGTTCGACCGCAGCTCGGCGTCAATGGACTCAAACGCCGTTCTGAATTGGATCGACAATGGCTTCCTAGATGCACTCGCGTTCCAATTCCCAGGAGTAACTATAGTGTACAGCGGCGCGGGCTGGGGTAATACTTTATCTAGGTTGCTCTGGTACTTGCCAGTCTGCTGGCCTGGGCTCTGCCCGTACATGGCGAAACCACCCCCTGGCGTACCCGCTCGGTCGAGGTGCCAGCAAATGATCGCGAAGTCCTGCGCCGAAATCTCACACTGAGCATACAGGCCTAACAATAATTTGAGGGCCTCTGCTCCATGCACACGCTGAGCATGGTCAGTATGTCGCCATGCTCGCCTGCTCCGACTCCTCGATCTCGGCATGGCGAGCCCGAGGGGCAAGAGGGGCATTGTGCACGTTCGCGCAACGGGGTTTGATTTGGGCGGCTGCGGAGTCTCACAGGTTTAAAGCGCAAGTTTAAAAGCTGGTGGTCTAGGACGATGTCTAGGATGTAGAGCCATTGTCGATCCGATAGAATCAAACGTTTGGGTCGAACGATCCGCGCCAGCCCATCCTGATTCATCTCAGACGCAACCGAGATGTCACGCACCAGGGCAAGTGCCCCAAGAGCCCTGGCGGGGCAAGCTCACACTGCGACCGCAGTGTGCAGAGACAAAAAAAACGCAGACGGTGCAAGCAGCTTCGGCGCGGGCATTGCAGCCACTGGGATCGAATAGAAAGGACGGATGGTTGGGGCGGAAGAGGTGGATCATGAGGATGAGGTGGAGGCAGAAAAGGGGGTGAGGATGTGGAGAGGGAGGAGGATGAGGAGGATGAGGCGGATGATGAGGCGGAGAAGGAGGTGAAGGATGAGGAGGAGGAAAAGTGACATACCAAGGATAGCGAGGACGAGGAGGAGGAAGATGAGGAGGAAGACGAGGATGATGATGAGGAGGAGGTGAAGAGGAAGGTGAAGGCGGAGGAGGGAGGGAGGAAGGACAGAAGAGGAGCAAGATGAATACAGTCTGACAGCGCGGCGAAGCTTCAAACTGCAATCGAATGATGCACACCAATGTTTACAACCAGGACTCAATCGTTTCTGGAAAGGCTAGGGGCTGCGCGAGCCTTGCGATCGTTTCTGGAGGGGGTCGAGGTGGCTGAGATGTCAGCCGAGCCCATGGTCGATGGTGCATCCTGAATCTCAAGAACACGCGCATAGAAAAAAGCCACGTTGCAGCGCGAGCTGCAGGAATCACATGCAAGATCACCTGGTGTACCAGGTAAGAGGATACCGTGGGCGATATACGATGGCTGATGCCTGATATCCGTGACCCCAAGCTAGTACGCTCAAGGTCGGGGTGATCGCTGCGGGGTTTCCCACCAAACACAACGAAACTCAAGGATTTTTGCAGCTACTGGTCACTTACCAGGTGTCAACGAACCTTCAACGGCTCGTCAACGGCACATGGGGTATCAACGGATCGGGGTGTCAACGCCACAACGTGCGGATGTATCGGGCCATTCGGTCGTTTCTACACACCTTCAACGTACCTTCAACATCCAGGTGCCAACGGACCTTCAACGCAATGACGCCCCGAAGATTCCCGGCCCCAGTGTGGTTTTTTCCGGCTCGGGCGTGATTTTTACCGGCTCGCCTAAATTTCGCGTGATATTTCGCATCCAGATCAGTTTTTTCGGTTTTCAACCTGCCCCGACCTGGATCGACACGCATTCGAGTTGAATCCAGCCGTGGTTACGAGAAAACGCCTTCCACTCGACATTTCTCCCGCGCAACGATCACCCTCGACCTTTTTAGCTGCGCACCCCCCGCTAGTCGCTGCCGTCCAGGTTGGCCCTCGTGTCGCGGTCCCCAAGGAGAGTCTTGTTCTGGCGGCGCAGCTTCTCCAGGGGCTTGGCGAGATTCACGGAGCCAATGAGGACGGCCTTCGTCGCGTCTTCGTCCAATGCCTTCCTGACCTCGGCCATGTCTCGGGAGAGGAGGTCTCTGAGGTTCGGGACCTTGTTAATATCATCCAGGACGTGCTTCTGGGCCTGGGATGACAACAGAAGTTTGGAAAGCCAGCGTCCTCCCCATCATTTAGGTTGGCGTCCTCTTCCTCGTCCTCATCCTCCTCATCCTCGTCCTCCTGCTATCAATTCCCCTCGATATCCAAACTTGCGTGCTTCATTCAAGCATCCTCCTAGCACTCAGATTCCTCCTGATCCTCACCCCTCACCCCTCGCACAGGGGGGCGAGGGGAGGGGGGGTAGAATCAGGATGATGAGAACGAGGAGGATGAGGAATATATATATAACTAGAGAGGAGGGTGGCGGCGAGGATGAGAGGAAGACGAGTGAGGTAAGATAACAAGGCCCCACGCGTCCTGCTTCAGATCCTTGGTGCGGGACGGGTCATCCTTCGCGAATTTCCAGGACTCGTCGCACTCGATGTTGGACAAAATCGTGTGCGCCTGCACCATCGCGGACTTGTACAGGGCAATGATATCTTTGGCCGGCTTCATGTACTCGAGCAGCGGGTTCGCCTTCTTCTCCTTCTTCTCAGGTGGCCCTCCAGCTTCGTCGGCGCCCCTCTTGGTGGCCTTCTTCTTGGCGCTGGGCACCGCGGCTGTGGATCCTGAGCCCGCGGAGGTCGCAGCAGCTGCCGCCTGGTCAGATGCAGGCGCCTCGATGTCCGTGTTGATATTCTTCGCCTCGGGGCCATCTGCCGTCGCCGCCGCCGCGCTGCCCGACCCAGTCGCCGTCGCCGTCGATGCAGCGTGGGCCCACTGCTGGTGGCGGCTCCACGCCTCCGAGAAGTGCTCGGTGTAGGTCTGGATCGCGTAGAGCACCTTGAGGTTCTCCGTGGACCCATCGTAGAGGATGAACGGACCTCCCATGGCGATGCACTTCGTGTAATGTTTCACCGCGGCGGCCCAGCCGCTTTTGCCGCCGCCCTCCTTCCAGGCTATGCGGGCCAATGGAAGGTATTGACCCTTCTTCTCCCACTCCTTCCGCGTGGTCGTGGTGAGCTCCTTCGTCTCCTTGAACGACGCGTGCCCCCCCTTGGCCCACTCCGCCCTGAACTGCTCCTGCTTCGCCCAGAGCCCCCTGCCCTTGAGCCCGACGCCGCACTCGGAGTACCTCTTGGCCAGGTCCTCGTTGTTGGCCAGCTCGCGTTGCCACCTCCCTGCCGCTGGGTTGCCCGCGGCGCCTCTGGCCCCGAACTTGTACCCATCCTGCTCGAGGGCCTCCCAGAACTCCTTCTCGCGCCTGTCCTTCTCGCTCATCGGCTTCTGCGCACTGGCGTCGGCGAAGCTGCTGTTCGCGCCAGCCCACTTTCTCATCTGCCCGAGGGGGGGGCTCCGCATGAGCTCCTTGAGCTCCTTAATGATCTTGTCCTCGTCTGGCTCCGAGCTGTCCACCATGCCGCTAATATCATCAACCTTGATGTTGAAGTCGTCCAGGGGGCTCCTGGGGCTGAGGTTGCATGATTTGGCCTCATCCTTCTCTTCATCCTCCTCGTCCTCTTCCACCTCCTCCTCCTCTTCCTCCTCACCCCCCCTCCTCGCCTGCCATGGGAGAGGCATGCGATGCGTTCGCGGAGGCGGGATGTTGCGGGTGAACAAAATGGAGAGGAGGGTCCAGACAGGAGGAGGTGTAAGACCAACACGCTCCCCCATCATGCTCGGATGCCGGTTTCTGACAACACCGATGTCCTCTTCACACTCTTCGTCGGCGTCTCGAGGGGCCTGCCGATGGCGGCGGGGGCGGAATCGGGGAGACGACGGAGCTCGCGCACAGGAGCGCCACCGCCTGCCGCCGCCGCCGCACATCTCGGCCTGCGTGATGATGCTGCCGCCGCCCGCACGACCTCGTCGTCCGCTGCATCGGTCTCGGGCACGGGCTCGCAGTCGATCGTCGCGCCGTCGGTGATCGAAGTCTTGATCAGCGGCTTCAGGAGGTCGCCCTCATTGCCCTCGCGATCGAGAAGGAGGATGTGATAGTGAGAAGGTGGATTGCGAGAAGGGCGGGCTGGATCGCCATTGGCCGATTCGAGTCAACACTGTTCCGTGGAGGTTTGAGGAGGAGGAGGATCAAGATGAGGATGTGGGGGGATGGCGAGAAGAGGGATGAGGAGTAGGAGGGTGAGGGGAGGGGTGGAGGTGATGGAGGAGTGGAACGAGAAGGGAGCCAGTTAGTACGATGAGACAGGTGGGGGGTATATCCTTCTCGTCGATGGTCTGATCGATGAGCATGTTCACCCACTCGAAGATCTGGAACGGCGTCGGGTCAGAGTCGAGCAGCTCGCCCTTGTCGATCAGCTCGCCCGTGTTGACCAGCTCGCCCGTGTTGACCAGCTCGCCCTTGTCGATCAGCTCGCCCTTGTCGATCAGCTCGCCCGTGTTGACCAGCTCGCCCTTGTTGATCAGCTCGCCCTTGTTGACCAGCTCGCCCTTGTCGACCCGCTCGCCCTTGTCGGCCCGCTCGCCCTTGTTGACCAGCTCGCCCTTGTTGACCAGCTCGCCCCTGTTGACCAGCTCGCCCGTGTCGACCCGCTCGCCCTTGTCGACCCGCTCGCCCTTGTTGACCAGCTCGCCCTTGTTGACCAGCTCGCCCGTGTTGATCAGCTCGGGCCCTTCCTTCAGCGTCCCCATAGGCCGCTCCGTCCTTGCGAGGGTCACGTCGGGTTCCGATGTCTGTATCCCCCATCTCCTCCTCCATATCATCCTCCTCATCAGCATCAGCATCAGCATCAGCATCGGCGTCATCATCATCAGCATCAGCATCAGCATCATCATCATCATCATCAGCATCCTCGTCTTCATCCTATGGCTCCTGATTCAGCCCATCTTCCTCCTCGTGATCTTTCTCCTCGTCCCAGTCCCCCCATCTCCGAACTCACTTTCGAGCTCCAACATCCCCCTCGCCATCCTGCGGCCCATCCTAGAGCGTCTCCTCCGCGCGCCCCATCGACCCCAAGAAGCGGGGCGACGGGGAACGGGGCAGGGGCGGGGTCCGCGCGCGGCACGTGGCGGGCGCGGGCCGAGGGGCATTGGATGGACCAGTCGAGGTCCTCGACCAGGGTAGCTTCTTGTGGCTCACCGAGCTCACGACAGGACCAGGGGCCAGGCGGTGGAGAGTCCTGCGGGTACGTGCCCTGGGAATCACCAAGGGGGCGCTGTGCGTCAGTGAATTGCGCGCACTGGGGAGGGACATCTGGCGGGCCGGCGCTGTCGGGCAAGCTGGGGACGCCTAAATCGCGCAGCAGCTGGTCGTCGAAGCCATCGGGGACGAACAACTCGTCGCCAATCCTGAAACCGTTCTCGACTGCCAGCGTGTCGGGACTGAGATCGATCACGGCGCGGGCTGCAGTCGGCGGCGTCGGTGACTGGCTCCTCCGAGATGGCGATGGCTGCTCCTGGGGGCGCAGTCTTTCTCACGTTCTCTCTCCCTCTCTCTCTCTCTCTCTCTCTCTCTCTCTCTCTCTCCCTCTCGCCTTCTCGCACTCCCCCTCCATCATCATCTTGCTGTCAATATCATTATCTGTTGGTCCCTCCCGTCTCTCTCGAGTCCCTTCCTCCTGATTATGTTTGTTGTTTTCCTCATCCCATCCTCATCCGAGCTCTGATCTATTGAGGCCCAGTCGCACATTGCCCGACCCGCAGGAAAACAAGGGGGTGCCGATCTTCGTCGACCATAGGGGGGGCGGGGGTGGGCACGCGCATCGGCGGGGAGGGCCCACGCGTGCGTGCGCTCGGAGTCCCAGGGCCAGATGTGAGATGGTGTTGTGGTGGTTGTTGTTGGTGGTGCTTTTGTTGTTGGTGTTGTTGTCGTTGGTGTTGTTGTTGGTGTTGATGTTGGTGTTGATGTTGTTGTTTGTGCTGTTGGTGTTGCTGTTGATATTGGTGTGGTTGTGGTTATGGGTGGTGGTTTCATTGGTATTCATGTTGTTGTTATCGTTGTTGTTGTTGGTTTTGTTGTTGTTGGTGGTGCGACTGCCGTTGTTGCTGGTAATGTTGAGGTTCGTGATGCGTTTGTTGTTGTCGGTGTTGGTGTTGCTGCTGTTCCCCCCGCACGTCCCCCGCGTCGTTCTTTTTGGCGGCGGCGGCGCCGCGAGAAATCACCTGTCCGATGGTCGTCATGCGGAGCCAGTTCGGTGGAGTCTGTTCCCACTGCACGGACCCCTCAGGGCCCTCCCTCTTGGGCATCGCCGCTGCGGGTGACCCCCAATATGTGGGTGGAGGTGGAGGGGGATAAGGATGAGGGGGGATGATGATGAACGGGAGTAGAGGAGGAGGGCGGGGAGTCGGGCTATGAGAAAAAGGAGACAGAGTAACCATTAGGGATCTCAAGGAAGATGGCGAGGACGAGGGTGATGATGTTGATGACGACGATACTGATGATGCTGACGAGGCGGAGGAGGAGGAAGATGACGAATGTCAATTTCCCCTAGGCGATCTTTCGGACGTTCGGGCGTTCGGGGGTTCGGCGGGGTGGCGATTCAGCTCTCGGCGACGCTCAGCTGCTGTGCCCAGCTAAATCAGCTCTCGGCGAAATTCAGCTCTCGGCGGGGTGGCGAATTCAGCTCTCGGTGATTCAGCTTTTCGGCGGAACTCAGCTCTCGGCGAAACTCAGCTCTCGGCTCTCGGTGCGCAGGCAGCCTCGACGGATGATGAAGGTTCGCACCAGCGAATTGTACATTCACAATCAGATGTTCTGAGCTCTGGGCAAGTCGAGCAAACGCTGCCAGCTGCATCTGTCATGCGATCATGTGTGGCAGCAGTGCTGTATGGCTGCGAGCTCGACGGAGCGCCCATCAATCAAACAAAAAAACTGGAATCTGCGGCATGGCTGGCACTCCCCCTGGCGTCGCCTGCTGCGGCGACGACGACGGAGGCGGCGCAGACGCTGTCACTGCGGCTGGGCGCTTCATCACCTCGGGCTGCGTGCTCGCCGCTGGCCTCGGCTTGCGCCTGATGGCCTCGGCCAGCTGCTGCTCTGGCTCCGCGTCCTCGTCATCCACCTCGTCATTGGCCTCGTCCTCCTCCTCC